TGTGTCTGAAAGATGTCTTTAAGACGACTTTTAGTCATGTCGTAAAGATATAATTAAAATGTCAAAATGATCATTTACGTATGTGTCATATCTTATTAATATATCTTATTCATATATCTATGAATAAAACATATATACATGAGAATAAAATTATATTCGTGAAAACACAAAACAAGTATTATAATAAACAAAAGTGATAGTTTGCATTTAAGATAAAGAATATAGGCTTTAGCAAAAAAGTTGGCAAAAAAATGAAAGTAATTTTTTATTCATATATGTTGATCATTAAATTGTACCATATATTTGTGGGAACATTGCATCAATCACCCATGTTAACATGGGTCAACATATATGAATAATCAATATATATCTATGAATAATATATAGGCTTTAGCAAAAAAGTTGGCAAAAAAATGGAAGTAATTTTTTCTCTCTCTCGAGCGCGCTTATTCTAACAGGTCTTATTATTTATATAGTTCTTGTTATTAATAATAAATATAATTGTGACATTATTTTAGCAATACACGTTTTATTTTTTTTTACATTTTATTAATTTTTTTTCAGTTTTATTAATCAATCAGATAATCTGTGATATCACATAAGTGTCCATTTCGGAAACATTCTTCTATCCACTTACATTTCACAATTTTCGCAGATATTTGCTCACGTGCTTTCACGTTTTTTATAATAGCGCTTGTCTCATTGTCTTCTACAAAAATATGTGTGACAGAATCGTCAAGGTTATCTCTCATTATACCTGACATAAAACGAAATTTATATTGAGCGATACACGACTTATTTTCAAAAAATCCTATTATGTCACTAAATACGGAATAAGGCGATATACTCCCGAACAATGCCTTGTTTAGTTCTTTTATTTTCTCGTTAGTTATTTTATTGTCTGTAAATTAAAAAATTTGTAAATTAGATTATTATATACGATAATACAACACGCACGCGCACGCACGCACACACGCACGCACACAACACACACACACACACATATCACACACACACACACACACACATGACATATATATTTATTATTAGTAAATTTTGATTCTCAAATACCTCGAAAATAGTTGCATGATTTCTTAATCTTCTTAAATGAACGCTTGAGACTCTGCTCATTTGCGTCAAGATAAAAATTGTCACCATATTCATCTTCTGTACAATCCATGGTTTAAAATAAATATTGGACGAAATGTGAACACGTCAGAAATAATGGAGTCTGTATTCCACATGCTCCTTATAACAAATGATTATCGATAATTTGTGATGCTCTTTTTGCATCTATCTTCGGTTTTTTCATCAGTTTTCCATGACGTTGATGCCGTTAATGAATGCTGATAAAGAAAATATTTTAATTCCAAGGGAAAAAAGGTATATTTTCAATATTTATTTAATCTTTTATTTTCTTTTTTCATAAAAATGTTTTTATTTTTTATTGAAATATTAAGTAAATACATGTAAGAGGTTATTTATATTTATATCTAATAAATAAATGAATTATTCTTTCTATTTATTTAATTCTTGCTTTCTAACTTTGAATGGTTTCCATTTATGTATATATACATACATACATATACATATGTATATATACATATATAGTTTTTTTTTTGTCAAATATGGTGCTTGCAAGTTAATTATTTGCATACAAACTATTTCCTATTACTTTTTATCTCCTATTACAATTACTTTTTCAGACGGATATATAGAAGTAAAAACTTGGGATACATAAAGAGAGAGAGAAACTAAATTGTTTACTGGCTTAATACGAGGTTAAGATTAAGCCTACATTACACCTACCTACACGGACAAATCTACATTATCTACATTACTTCTACATTCGATAACTCGATTAACGCTTAATAAAAGAGCAAATTAAAGGTAAGAATTCTTTCGACTTCTGCAAATCGCATTTTCTGCGTGTGATTAGCGTATAGTTCCGTAAAAGATCCGTCAGATCAAAATATCAATTATCAATTTCAAAAGTAGAGATTTCAAGCTATAAAATGCATTTTTGACCTTTTGTCTGCAATGATTTTTTACCGAGTTCTGAATATTGCGCAATTTTTAGCATGTCCGAAAATCTTCTCTATTTTTTATTGCGTAGTATAATTTTTACGACTGGTTTATTTTTTTGATGTTTGTTTAAATAGGTGTGCATAGAATTAACAAAATTACAATGCCGAAAATTAAACCCTTTCGAGATTTATCTCGCCGGCAGCAAGCTCGCCGTTTATTGATTCAAGAAAAAAATGAAAATATAACATTTCAAGAAATTCATCTTGTTAATACGCGAAAGTCTATTTATACAGAATGTTTTTCTGAGAATCTCAATACGATAGAATTACCTTCCAACAATATATCTGATACGGAAACAGATAGACAGTTAGAAGATCTCAGTATAATAAATTTATCTTCAAACACAGATATAGAGACAGATATGCAGTCAGAGAACGATCCAACTATACAAGATATACATGATATTGTTTCAACACATACGCATTCAAGTGGCAAAAATACTCTAAAGGAAAGATTACGTACGTGGGCAATTGAACAAAATGTAACACAAAAATGTCTTACAGCTTTATTGCGTATTTTGAAGGACGAAGGTTATAATGAATTGCCCAGTGATTCCAGAACTCTTTTAAATACACCAAAGAATACAATTATTCGCGAGTGCGGAGGTGGACATTACTTTCACTATGGTTTAGAAATGTCATTGCGCGATAAATTAAAATACTGCACAAATGAAAATGAAGATGAATAGATATTAGATAGTAGCTGGATAGCATTTAAGTAAGAATGTAACCTTACTTCTTCACTTGTATATATATA